AAGTAACATGGTATGAATTTTGAAAAAAAAAAAAAAAAAGGGGCATAGAAAGGAACGTCGGCTGGGTTAACCAAGCTGGACTCCTACTTGCTTTGCCAAATTGATTGAATGACCTTCAATCCCTTTCAGCATGAGCTGGCAATTGAAAGTCAAGACCAGGTCAAAAATCGACAGTTATGGGTCGGCAGATTCAATGGGGCAGGCATTTAATTGATGAAAATGATTATTGGTTCATTTTACTTGTCACAATATGTATTTTTAAGTGTATATTTTTTCAGAATATATAAATGATAATTTGAATTTTTTAACATATAATTCTTATTAAATAATTTCATTTTATAAGAAAAAAATATTTCATGTTGTTCTTACTTGGAAGGGAAGATCAATTTCTGTGGTGAATTTTAGCCAGACTTGTCTCCAAGGGAAGCTACCATTGGTGGCGGAACTAGCACATAGTTCGAGGTATAATTGAAATTATTGATTTGATATGTATTGATATAATCATATTAATTTGGTATTTAGTGATATAGTTATATTAATTGGATATGTATTGATTTAATTATATTGAATTATATTATTAAATTTCAATGTTTTATAATCTGAATTAATTATTTGATTGAAAGATATTTTTTTGTCATTAAGGATCGTTCTTTATTCTAATAATTATTTATATTTTAAGCTCTAAAATAATTTTTTAATTTATTAATACACACTAATAATCACCAAAAGTACTTGTAAACTAGGCATTCATCAATTGTTTCAAGCATCACAAATTATTAAAATAAACTTAACAATAAACACATATACATTAATCTTTAATATTTAAAACTAATACAATTCCATGCCAATATATGAATGTGATTTGCAAATGAAATTTTAAACTATCCGTAAAAGAGACGGAAAGTAATAAAATCACTTAAATAGTTTTGAAATTATAGTAACAAAGAAGATGAAAACTTATTTAAAAATTTTAATGGCGGAGAAAATACGTTTAGTTAAAAGATTTTTATTTTTATTTTTTAAAAAACGAATTTAAACGCAAAAAATTTCAGTTTTTTTTAGATGAGAAAAGGGGCAATATCCTCATTATTACTGAATTGGATATGGACCATACGGTTTTTCCCAAAAAAAGAAAAAGATATGGCCCATACGGTAATACGGGTTACATTCAAATAAAGCAATGGTTTATGACCCTGACGCCTCGTGCAAGACTATATGAAGGTGTTTTGTTGTACACTGTTGATGGTGCAAAGCTACTTCTAAATTACACTTCAAGCTTGTTTGGTGTGACTTGTGAGAATTTTTACTTTTTGAATACTGTTATGAGTGATAAATTTAAATTTTTATTGAAGGAAAAATAAAGTTTTAACTTTTAAAAAAGTGAAAAAGTGAGTGAAAAGTAAGTAAAAAGGAAATTTATAAAAAGTTTGGATTTGAAACTTTTAAACTTTTACAGTTTAAGAGCTTTTTAAAATTAAAAAAATATTTAAAAGTAAAAAAAAATTTTTAAAAAAATTTAAATTCATAAAATATAAATATTATCTAAAAGCTGAAACTCCTAATAGTCACACCAAACAAATCCTTCATGTCTCATGTCTCTGCTTAGGCAGAAGGTGCAATTCAGCCCCTCTACGTCCATTGTTGTGGCACATCAGCCCCTCTACCTAAAAGTAGAGCAAATCAGCCCCTCCACTTGACAAAACCCGCAAATCAGCCCTTCTGCTGACGATGACCTCATCAAATGTCATCTTTCCGTCCACATCCTTGTTACTCCGTTACTAAGAAATGGCTTGGTGTTGATATGGCATTGGGTGGGTGATGTGATCAATTTAAACTGCAAAATTACTAAAGAGTCCTTATCTACTTCCTTTTCTTCCATTTATCTTCTCTCTCCTCCTTCACAGTCTCTCTCTTCATATTGCTGTAGATTTACTTTTTATTTTCAATAGTTTAAATTAAAATTTTTTTCAGATAAATCTAAACTTCAAAAAATCATTAAAAAAACTCTCAAAATATGAAAATATAAAAGTTAAAAAAAGAATTCAAAATTAAAATCAAAATTTGTGGCTTTGTTGACACCAAGTAATTTGCTCATTAAGTTTCCATTTCCAATAACCCAAAATCTACCTCACTTTATTTTAAATAAAAATACATGTAATATTTATTTATTTTAAAAACTATCTCAAAAATAGATTTATATATTTTTAATAAAAATACAAACTAAAAAAAAAAATTATGAATTCATATGTATCCCTTTACTAGTGCTTCATCCTAATACAAATCAAAAACCTTCTGCAACAAAAAGGCATATATAAATTCATAATTTTTAATTTTTTCCATTTTTTTAGTTTGTGTTTTTATTAAAAAATATATGAATTTATTTTTGAGATATTCTTCTAATAAAAATAAAAATTACATATGTTTTTATATAAAATAAAGTTAGGTAGATTTTGAAATACTAGAGATGGAGATTTAATGAGTAAATCATTTAATACTAGCAAAACCACAAGTTTTGATCTTAATTTTGAAATTTTTTTTTAACTTTTATATTTCATATTTTGAGGTTTTTTTAAATATTTTTTGAAGTTTAGATTTATCTGAAAAAAATTTCAATTTAATTTATTAAAAAAAAAAGAAGTAAATCTGCAATATGAAGAGAGAGACTATAAAGGAGGAGAGAGAAGATGAATGGAAGAAAAGGAAGTAGATGATGAGTCTTTAGTAATTTTGTAGTTTAAATTGACCACATCACCCACCCAATGCCATATCAGCACCAAGCCACTTTCTTGGTAACGGAGTAACAAGAATGTGGACGGAAAGATGACATTTGATGAGGTCATCGTCAGCAGAAGGGCTGATTTGCGGGTTTTGTCAAGTAGAGGGGCCGATTTGCTCTACTTTTAGGTAGAGGGGCTGAATTGCACCTTCTGCCCTCTGCTTATTGTTGAAAGCCTTTAGGCCCTAGAGCATGGACCTTTTATTTTCACTTTCTTTTCCCTGGCTCAGGGTAGGGCTGCGCCAAACCTTGGGCCTACGAGGCACCGCCTAGGACTGAGCACTGGATATGGATATATTTGATATCTATGGGTAATTAATTTATTTAGGTATATATTTTATCTGTACTTATGAAAAGATAATAAAATATTAAGTATGAAATATATATATTTATTATATATTTAATTTATATATTTGATCCATATATTTAACTTATATTTCACTTTTATATGGTTAATTTGTAATAAAATATTATTAAATTAAAATATTTATGTTTTTTTTCTTTTTTTCTTGTC